AAAAAAAAATTTTTTTACTTTATTTTTGCTTTGCGTGCACCTTACTTTTCTACATTTTATTGTTCTAGAATCAGAATCAGAATCACAAGCCAATCATTCATCATCCCAATTCGAAACAGGTACGATCTTAATATGTTTCCACATTGATTAACAAACTATTATTTCAATAATATGCTCTATGTTTGACATTGAAACACCGTGTTTCTTAAATGTATAATCTGCATTTGAATAGATACGCAAAAGTGTATTTTATTAATTTTTCTTTCTTTGTAGGATTAGAAAAAAAATGGCTTAATCTTCAGTATCATGCAGATGGTCAAATTAAGAAGCCTGATGAACTTGAAAATGAAATGCAAGAGCCATCTAATCTGATCGACGAAAAATTACTGGATCAAATTTCTGGTGCTTTGATTGGAATGGCTTTGGGTGATGCCCTTGGGGCGCATGTTGAGTTTCGTCCTCATGTATATTTACTTGCAAACCCAGTCAAAGACTTGGAAGGAGGCGGCACATGGGGTCTTAAAAAAGGACAGGTATCGTCTCTTTATCGTATTTTACTATAGGGAGACCTAATGCAATAATTCAAAAAGTTTGAATTGTTAGATAGAATTATTTATTATTGACTGTCATCATTAGTAGATTGCTGAAAAATTTCCTAAGCTTGATCTAAATATTTTTGTGGGTTGATACAAAGATTTCAAGCATTAGATGTCATATAAGAATTACTAGACATTCACTTTCGTTTAAACCTCTGTTTGATTTGTCGAAAGAAAGAGTCAACTGCTTTTCGTGCAGCTGCATTTATTACATCTCAAAATGACTAATCGTTTGTTTTTCTTTCTTTACCTAGAACACAAGAAAAGTCATGCCTTCTTCGATCTTGAGTGTGTTGATTTAGTTACAAGTAGAAAGCAGATACGATATCATTTTGTCGTCAGTTGATATTTATTGTCGATTTCAAAAAATTATCCAAAAAAAAGATTATGTAAATTGAATAACTCTATTATTTTGTTGGAATTTAGAAACTACACGAAACGGGTTCTAAAGTCACTTCTTATATTTTATATCTAATTTGATTAAGATACTTGATATTTTTTTTTCGAAAATGAACTGGTATATTGAATTAGATTAGCTAAATAATGCAATAAAAACAGCTTTTTCCAAAAAGAAAAAAGCTTTTTCTTATAAAAACTATTACCTGCAGTTGCTTATACAAATATTGTGACCAAAATCTCCTTAAAATAAGCAAAAAACATAATCTATACAAGGCTAATTTGAAGTCATAGTGACATGACAAGAATTCTTGTCGTTCCAAACGATGCAAGACGATCAGATTAAATCCATACTTCTTACACCCGATTGGCTTTGGGTAATGTTCTTGTGGAGCATGTTAAGTTTCACTCTTACGAATATTTTATTTGTATATCTAGTTAAAACTTAGAAGATGGTAGTGTATAAGGTTTTGAAAATGTACAAGGGTTATTTCTTTATTGTACTCTATTTTAGAGACAACATAAACAAGCTATCACTGAATAAAATTTATTGAAGTTCGAAGTATAAGCATCCGGATCTTGTCGTTACGTAAGCCTGTACTCGTATCCTCTTTACGCACTCTTTATATAATTTGAATTGGCATGTTTGATAACATTCCTTTCGAAAATAAAACGAGTATCTAGAATTATAGTGATTAAAGGAATGTTCTGCCAAGAGTATCAATAGTTCATCTCTTATAGAAAACAAATCTTTAACAAAAATAGTGAATACACTGTCTTTTGATTAATATACAATGATATTGTCGAAGACTTCTTATCAATTATTTTAGACGGTATATATGTTTTAGTTCACAGATGACACCTCAATGGCTCTTTGTTTGGCTAATTCATTAGTGTCTCGTCGTGGTTTTGTACCTTATGATCAATTAGTTCGTTACAAATGGTGGTTTCAGCATGGATACATGTCATCCACTGGACGTTGTTTTGACATTGGGGCGGCCACTGCTCAGTCATTGGATGAATTTATTCATCGCCAAAAAAGACTTGCCAAAAAATATGACATTTCTCTTAAAAATATAGATTATATTTCAGACCCTAATCTTCTTGGACAATTTCAAGTTTATTGCAGTACATCTGGTGTCGCTGGTAATGGAGCTCTCATGAGGCTTGCGCCTGTACCACTTTTTTTCTATAAACATCCAAAAGAAGCTATAGAATTCTCTGGTTACAGTGGACAGATTACACATGGTGATATAAAAGCTTACGATGCATGCCGATACTATGGAGCTCTGATCTGCGCCACACTTAATGGCTATACGAAAGACAAATTGCTTGATAAAGATTTTTACAAAGAACACAAAGAATGGTTCGGTGACAAGCAACTTTGTGAAGAAATTAAAAAAATTGCCGAAGGATCTTATAAGAAAAATGGTGGATATCAAGATGGCATTCGTGGCAAGGGTTATATAGTCAATGCTCTTGAAGCTGCGCTGTGGGCATTTTGGTCTGATAAGGACTCTTTTGAGAATGGTGTACTTGCTGCTGTCAATCTCGGTGATGATACTGATACAACAGCTGCCATTTATGGTCAATTAGCTGGTGCATACTATGGATACAGAAAACTTCCAAAAAAATGGGTAGAACATGTGTATGCTAAGAAATTCATATTAAACTTGAGTAAATGGATAGCATACGAAGGAAAAAACTGGAAACAAACGGACGTAATTCTTCCATCTCATTCACCTTCACTTGATAAACCTGTCTCGAACGATAGTGAAACACTATACGCTCAACCTGACCCTGAATTGGACTCAATGTTGTTATCCCAACAAAGTAGAAAATGTCGGAATGGTTCGCATGGTAATCAAAACTTGCCTGATCCCGGAAACGTCACTACATCGGAAACATTTAACCAAGCGTCAAAGCCGAACAGTGATGCAAGTTAATACGCTCAAGAACAAATCAAGACACTACCAACATCGTTGTGACTTCGAAGGAAAGCTCAGTTATAATTTCTAATTGATTAAAGACCTCAGCAATGTT